TGTAGTCTGTTTTAGAAGAGCAGTTTGTGACCAGAAAATGGAAGACCCAAACTACTGGAAAATTTAGACCTTTTTCTTGCTGAAGGGTAGAATGGTAGGGAAGGGGGTAGATGGGAGGAGGGAGGTTGAAAAATATAGGGCTCAAATCTCTTCCTTCAATCTCACTCTTGTTCCAGGTGGGACCTGAATTGCCTCACTGTTGGGAAGACAAGGGAATTTTCTGTGAGGAAAATCATTAGAGAATATAGTCCAAGCAGTCACTGGCAATTTGGGCCTGCAGGGGGTGCTAGAACCTTCTCTGTTCTTTCTATCTGGGCCAGTGGAGACCTTTCCTGAACAAAAGGCAAGTTCTCTGTGATTCCTTGGTTATCCTAATAATATAATAATAATAATGATAAGTGTTCTTTGCACTTACATAAACCTTACATGTCAGGCATGGTTCTAGGCATTTTGCATATATTTATTTAATCCTCACAACAACCCTATTAGGTAGGTAGTATTATCTCTCTTTCACAGATGAGGAAACTGAGGCGTCAAAAGTTTAAAGAACTTGCCCAAGATCACACAGTTAGGGTGAGTTCATCTTTTTTCTTGGCTGTGTATACACCAATAGGTATAGCATGATCAAATTCCATGTGTTTTTTTTTTCAATATACCTATCCCTACAGTTCTTGGGAATGATGAGAATATTTGCTAATAATGAACATGTAGAAATATCATTATCACCATTGAGGAAAGCCTTACATGTAGGTGGGTGAGGTGACTGTTTACCTCGTACGAGAGATGGGTCTTGGGAAAATGTCAGAAATCCCACTATTTTGAGACATGTTGCTGTTGACTTTAGATGCTTTAAGGTCTTTAGAAAGCACAATTTAAATTCAGATGAACCTGAGAAGAATGATACTTCAAATATAAGTGGGTGTAACCTCTCTGAGACTATTTCACCTGTGACATGCAACTAACAGAAGGAGTAAATAAGGGAACTCACAAGAAGCACTTGTCTCAGAGCTTGACCCTAGAACCTTCTCCCTCATAAGGGAGCAATAGAACAGTAGCTTGGATAGGAAATGGTGGAAGGGGTCATAGGAAAAATGCCAGGGCAGCAAGGAGCCCAAGTGAGAGCTGAAAAGGGAGCGAGACAGCCTTCCCTGAACTCCTCATCCTGTGAGAGTGCATTCCCCATGGCATCCTGCTCTAAGCCTTTCTGGCCTCTGGGCTGTAGAACTCTGGAAGCAGACAGCTGCTCTGAACAAAGGGACAAGGGAGTACCGAGATATTCTTTTAAAATGTAACACTCTTGCCACAGTGCTCATGAATGTAATCCCAGCACTTTGGGAAGCCAAGGTAGGTGGATCACCTGAGATCAGGAGTGCAAGACCAGCCTGGCCCACAAGGGAAAACCTCATCTCTACTAAAAATACAAAAATTAGCTGGGTGTGGTGGCACATACCTGCAATCCCAGCTACTCAGGAGGCTGAGGCAGGGGAATTGCTTAAACTGGGAGGTGGAGATTGCAGTGAGCCAAGATCACACCACTGCCCTCCAGCCTGGGCGACAGGGTGAGACTCTGTCTCAAAAAATTAAAAAATTAAGTAAAATGTAATACTCCTAACCATGTTATGCAAGTTACCCACAAAAACAACAAGGTGAATTTCTCACAAAGCTTGTAGGAAAATAGAGTCATCTGATGACTTGATATTTTGTGTGTATTACACAGGATTTCAACAGCAGTCAGAGTTGCAAACATCTAAAAATTTATGATGTGCTAGGGGCTGGGCCAGGCATCGTGCTAGATGCTGAAGAATCAAAGGTAAATAAAATCCAATCCCTGATTACGTCAACTTACTTTTCAAATCGGATTGCCTGGATTTTCTTCAAATGGATTTGTGGGATGTGTATGTGACAGCAAATAATGTTTTAATGGTCAAACTTTATCTTTGAGAAGTTACAATGGGGGAGCATAACTAGTAATATTACTTAAGCTAGATGAGGCACTGCGGGAAGATTATTGGAATGTAGGAACAAAATGTCCTGCTAGAGATGAGAGACTCAGCCTCCTCTCACTAGAAAATGTACTGTTATTGCTAATCATTGTGTAAAAATGTGTTGTCATGCACAGCCTGTGTTGACAGGATTCTAGAAAGTCTTTTCTTGCTTTATGGATCACCAGGGATAAGTTAGAGGTATCCTTTTATCTACAGATGAAAACTCAGCGGGGAACTCAAATATGCCCATGAACTTCAAGGCACAGATATGAACGTGCTAACATGGAGTAGTAGTCTCCAGGGAATATGAAGGCCAATCAAACAGTTGCAGGGATACAGGCCCAAATGCTAGATTAGAACAACACATAGCTAACCCTTGCAAAGGGATCCACCCATTTTTAAAAGCTTCTTAAGAGTGTTTATCATTATGGTTGGTAAACCAACATATAAACAAAAAGCATCTCAGATATATGTCAAACTATGAATGAAACTGGTCCAGAACAATGGAGTAGAGGTGAGAAACAAGGCAGAAGATACTTTCTCTTCTTTTTCATAAGTTTCTGTGAGTGTTTGATAGGGTCAGAAGTTTTAAAAATAAATTTAAAAGCTTTGAAAGAGATAAATACAGTCAAAAAAACAAGGAGGTGAAAAAGTTCTTCCCTAAACTGTACTCAGAGCACAAGAACGGCAGCCTCTGACATCACCTGGGAGACACGTATGGCTTCCCAGTGCAGGTAAAGGCCTTGGGGGCATGAGCAGGGTCTGCCTGGGCAGGCGATGGAGGTGGCACTATCCCTAAATTAACCAACTGGCTTCTTCTTTCTCCTTCTGTTCCTCCTTCCCTTCTTCTCACCACTTTTTAATTTTTTTATTAAATTTTTGTGGGTATATAGTAGGTGTATATATTTATGGAGTACGTGAATTTTTTTTTTTTTTTTGAGATGGAGTCTCACTCTGTCACCCAGGCTGCAGCACAGTGGCACAATCTTGGCCCACTGCAACCTCAGCCTCCCAGGTTCAAGCTATTCCCGTGCCTCAGCCTCCCAAGTAGCTGGAATTACAGGCATGCGCCACCATGCCTGCCTAATTTTTGTATTTTTAGTAGAGATGGGGTCTCACCATGCTGGCCCGGCTGGTCTCAAACTCCTGACCTCAAGTGATCTGCCTGCCTCAGCCTCCCAGAGTGCTGGGATTACAGGCATAAGCCACCGCGCCCAGCCAAGATGTTTTGATACAGGCATGCAATGCGTAATAATCACATCATTCACCACCACTTATTTCTCTTTTTTCCTTCAGTAAGGATTTACTGAATGCTAACTATGTGCCAGGCACAGTTCTGAGCATTACGGACATGGCAGTGAACATATTATAATAGAGACAGGCAATCAACAAATACACAAGTGAAATATATAGTATGTTAAGCGATGACCAGGGGACCACATCTGAAAGCAAAAATAGACCAGCATACATACACTCCCCTACTGTGGGTAGCAAACATCTCAAATAAAAGAGACAGCATCATTTCAGCTGCCAAGTTTCACTTACTCAGTAAGAATGCCGTCTGCTGTGTCTCTTCCTTCAGGGGTCTCCCAGGACACCCGGACTGTCAGTTTGTTGGGTTCTGCAATGCGTTCCTTCACACTTGGGCACTTGATTCTAGGAGGTTCCATATCTGAAAATATAACCAAAACACTATCATCATCATCAATAAATATGTAGTCAAACTGGGATTCAAGACCCAAAGTTTAAAATACCAGAACCTCTGGGTATTCCCCTTTTGCCCTTCATTATAGTTTTACTCTCCTGCTAAGTTTTAAAGATTGTTTAAATACTCACACATGCAGTGCTAAATCTGCAATCCACTGACCTTGCGAGGTGTCCTGTGGGTAATTCATTAGCTACAGCCTTTCCTCCTGCTTTGAAGACAGCATCATGGAATATTAAAGAAAGGCACTCTAGCTATCAATAGTCAGATTCAATTCAAGGCAACAAATTTTTCATGAGTGCCAATCTTATCCAAGGCTTCATTGCAACTGCTGGGGCGGGGGGTGCACAAAGGCAAGAGAATCATGTGCTCCTGACTTGTCAGATAATTTGCTATCTATTGGGGGGATTACATTACCACCCATGAAATATAACATGAGGTAAGAAAATGGCAATGCCCCAGGCAAGGTAGAACTGAATGCTATGGAGGTGTAGAGCAATCACCCAACTGTCTCATTTTATAGATGTGCAAACTGAGGCTCAGAGAACTTAAGTGATTTATTTAAGACCACACATGTAGATAACGGCACTGTGAATTATAATTTAAGTCAGAGCACTTGCCACCAAAACAAGCTCTCTCTCTCTCTCTCTTCCTGCTGTCTATTATCAACATATTGCTCAACATCTTAAAATAGGCAATGGTCTGTCTGGGTCCACTCTCCCCTCAAACTCCTACTGAACTACACTGATGGTTTTGTGTTTGGGAAAGGCTCGCAAATTTCTTCAAGTAGTTTCTTTACTGGGTAATAGAAGTTCTGCCTTAATAGTGATATCAAGGATGGGTGGATAATGAGGGCTCAAAGTAAATGAGATGGCACCTCTACAATGGGTTGTATTTCATCTTATAGCTGAAGTAAAATTACAAGAGGAAGTTCAAAACTCTGCAAATTCTACTTGCTCTTTCTGAACAGGTATAGAATGTATTTAAAGAGGGCATAGTAAATCAAGGGCATTCAGCTTTGCATTGCTTTACTTATCAACCGAAAGTATTAAGTGCTATTACAGCCTTAATGAAAAATCATTTGATTTTGAATGACAAATATCTTTGACAGACTAAATGCACCAAGTAAAATTCCTGATATTCTTTCTCCTGTGTCTTGTTTAATAATTTCTCATTTTATTTAAGGTAAGAAGTTATAAATAACTTATTAAACAATTTTGCCTTCAGTTTTCCAAATTCATTTTCATTCTGTCATGCTTCAATGGAGTGTGAACTTAACAACCTTAATGCACCAGTCCTAAATTGCATAACCACTATATTTTGTTGAATCTAAGTCACTCCTAATTGTGAAATGCATCCCTATTCCAGGGATATTAAAAGGTAGAAAAAATATGCTTCTCAGAATTGATAAAATACTATGATGAAATGGAATATGACTTAAATGCATTCAAGATGTCTATTCTTAGTTGTGAAGTTTTCTAAAAATAATTTCTTAATTTTTTACTATGATAGGTGATAGAAGACAAACTTTTAGAATTCAGATGAACATTTCACAGAAAGACAAGCATATAATGACTGCCCCCTGCTGGTCAAATATAGCTGGCAATTACAGTATAGAATATATTTATTAGCATAGAGATTTCAATGTAAAATTACATTGTGTTACCATATTTTCTTGGAGCAGCATGGTCAGAGTGAGAAGCAACTTATTCACTGTCAGGTAAACCAAATGTCTGGATGATACATTCTTGTTTCTTTGTTTGTTTTCTGGATCTAGATGTACTAACAGTGTAAGCACACAGGCTCGAAAATAGGTTATCTGGGTGAAGGGTCTCAGAGCTTCCCAAAGCCAGCTTATCTCTGACTAACAATCTTCTGAACTGGCCTAGCTTTTTAGAAACAATGTTCTTCCAAAGAAGAAACAAGAAGAAATAAATCATTGCAAATAATTAATATTGGAGGAATCCTTCCTACATGCCCACCCCATACTAAGTACTCTCCCTATATTATTTTATTGAATTTGCACAACCACGCATTAGACTAAGCAATGTTGTTAGCATCCCATTTATAGACTGGGAAGAAGCATTTCTGCTCTTTTGGAATTTCTTTGTGGTCTGGGATTTTTAAATGCCATTACATATTTTAGTTATTTTAATAAATCAAACGCTTTGTGTGTCTGTCTGCTGCTGACCTAGTGTTTTCCACCAACTTTTGCACACATACTGTTTTGTGATGGCCTGTCATAGCTTCCCCATAAACCCATGAAGAGCAGCTGCAGGATTTGATCCTGACACATCCTCAAGCAGCTGCCTTCTCTCTCAGCTGATGAAACCAGTTGGTCTGCCCTTCAGCTGTTGCTCCAGAGACCTAAGCCTGTTATTACCCAGACTTGGCCAGACAGCTTTTTATAAGTTATACACTTCCATGAATGAAAGGAACAAAGTTACTATAGAAACATAATTACTATTCCCTGTTGAATTAGGATGTCTGCAATTGTATAAAAATCTTGAAACCTTCAGTAAAAATTCTGTCCTCTGCTCTCTGCCTCATTCATTGGACACATTTGACAAACCTGTCTCCCTTCTCTGTGCTCTAGTTTTCCCTGTGCATATAAAATATAGGAAACAAATACATTGCATTGTATTAACTACTATTTAAGAAGCTGAACTTTTTTTTTTTTTTTTTTTGAGACAGGGTCTCATTTTTTCCCCCCATGGCTGGAGTGCGGTGGCACAATATCGGCTCACTGTAGCCTTGACCTTCCAGACTCGTGATCCTCCCACCTCAGCCTCCCAAGTAACTGAGATTATGGCCATGCACAACCATGCCAGGCTAATTTTTTTTAATTATTTTTTTTGTAGAGACAGGGTTTTGTCATGTTGCCCAGGCTGGTCTCAAACTTGTGGACTCAAGCAATCTGCCTGCCTTAGCCTCTTAAAGTGCCGGGATTGCAGGCATGAGCCACTAGCACCCAGCTGAAGCTGCACTATGTACTTCAGAATCCTTAACACATATAACCAGGTAGGAAGTGGAAATGAGGAAGAGGTTCAAAAGGACAATGTCTCAGCCAACAGATAACAATGAAATGCAAGTGAAGTGGCCCTGTGCCATTTCCAGACCTTGGCCCTCAAAGAATCTGGTGCCTTCTGCTTTCACTATGTTAAAAGCCAGCTGCCATCTAAAGAAGTTCAATTGACTGGAGAGGCCAAATAGTCAGGATGAGAAACTATAAATGGGAGAGAAAAAGAGAGAGAGAGAGAGAAAGAGATTCAGCCAGACCCCAGTCAGTACAGCTTTTCCCAACTGAGGTACCAGACCTGTGGGTGAAGCCATCTTGAACCCTCCAGCTCCACTTGGTCACCTCAGCCATTACCACATAGAGCAGAGATAAGCTGTCCCCATAGAACTCTGCCCAACTTTCCAATCCATAGAATCTTTGAGCAGTAACATAGTTGTTTGGAACCACTAAGTTTTGGGTGCTCTGTTGTGCAGCAATAGATCACTGATGCAAATATAACATAGCTTGAGTTTGGTGATAGAGAAAGGAAGAGTTCTTTTGACATAGGAAGCGACTGACTGCCAAATGCAGAACAAACCTGGCCATTGAAAACTCACCCAACTGTTTGCTTCCCACAGCCAGAGTGTAATCCCTGTGGATGGCTCTGGGAAGTGGTTTCCTCTGTTTGGTACCATATAAAAATTCAGAGAACTTTCCAAAACAGACAGAAGAGGCAAGAAGGGAGGCAATGAAATCCACATGTAAAAGTCGTCATCATGGCCGGGTATGTTGGCTCATGCCTGTAGCCCCAGCTACTCAGGAGGCCGAGGTGGGAGGATCGCTTGAGCCTGGGAGTTCAAGACCAGCCTGGACAACATAGCAAGAGGGAAGCCTGGGCAACATAGTGAGACCTCATCTCTAACAGTCACATCTTCACAAGAAAGAAGCCCCACTAAAAGTTGACCTGTTCTGTTTGTACTAACCAAACATGTAAGGGAAAAAGTGAATCAGCATCTCAATCAATCGAGTTGGTTTAAAACTGAAACTAGCCTCTGAACGTTTGCAAAAGAACGTGCATTTGTCGACCTAGGAGAATTTAGCACAATTTAACATCATTTGTAACAATACATGTATAAATTTATGCTGAGCCCTACTGATGTTTACATCAGCTAAATAATGCAATGCAGCCCAGCAATAAAACAATGATCCTGTTCCTATGGGTCATTGAGTAAACCAGCTGTGAGACAGCTGGGAAGCAAGAAAAGTATGCCATCAATTTCCATATATTAAATCTCCGAAATTTTTTATTCCAGAATTTCATTTGTGTTAATAAATCTCTACCTATTCTACTCTGCAGAAAATAAAAAGTAAGAGAGCATTGCCAAAGAAAACCAAGTTAGTTTGTACATTGTCTTTTGTTAAAGCAATTAAGTGGATACTGTCTGCATGTCAAAAGACCTTTGCTGGTTTTTCATTGTCCATGGTTTTCAAAGTACCTATTTGTTTTCTTCCTGTTTTGGCCTAGGCAGAAGTATTGGTCTAAAGGAGAGATCATGTGTCTACTCAAAATCTGGTCTCCAAATGAGGACTTGTGATTCCAGCTGTCCATTGTGCTATCTAAATACCAACATAACCAAAAATAACTAAAAATGGAAAGAAAGAAAAATATCCCCCCAAAACAATAGTGGTTACATTCTAAGTTTTATTTTCTTCCAGATCAGTGGAGGTTGTGGCTCTTCAAAGAGTTTACCCTCCTGCAATTTGCAGTATTTTTTTTTTCCTCCTACGTTGATTTATTTTTATCTATATCTGTTTCTGAAATAACCATGAATTTCAGCCCATTGCCAGAGTATGGTCTATGTAAGAGAATTAATTTTAACTTGCAGCACCTTAAAATTAGCCAGACCACAGAGCTGACCACCTCAGAGTCAAAACAAAACCCAGTCTTCTCTCTTCCCTCCCAGTCTAGAAGAGAACTGGGACAACTTTCTCACCACTCAGCACAGCTCTGGCCAAGACTGTTGAAGGTTGTATGGAAATCTGGGAACTACTTAGCCACTATGTGTCAGCTCCTAAAATAGGTTGAAGTTCTGAGTTATGCTCAAGGACCCCCTGCCAACACAAAAACAAATGTATTAAACTATTTTAATACATTTAAAGCCAAAAGAGTAAATGATACCCCTGGAGTAAAATTCACTGGGATCAAACTCCAGCTTGTCTGTCACCAAAATCAAAGAAAGAATTGCCTGCCTGCTAATCCATTTCTCTTTTCCTGGGAGCTCTAGGCTCTTTTGTGGATCACTGTACCCGTTTTTGTCACCCCTATGTAATTGCATGTACAATCCTCTTTCCCCCAAATATGCCTGAACCTTGTTCTGACAAACTGTAATAGGAATCCCCGAATTTGGGGTTCATTTTCTCTCCCTCTGAGAAGGTTCCAGGCCCATCTGGTCCAGCTTAAGACACGCTTGTTGCTTTTTGAGAACAATCAGCATTTTCTTTCCATTGTTGCACACAATCTGGAAATTTAAACAGTATGATCCTAGAGTACTCTGCCAAAGCTTGCGTAGCAGAAAGATTTTTGAGCTTCTCCTCTCCTCCCACCATCACCTCTGCCTCTTCTAATATGAGGGAGTAGATTCGGTTTTCTTTTTGGTTTGTTTTGAAGAGCTAGCTTGCACATACCAAATCACAGGGAGGGTACTGAAAGCAACATCTGTGAGGTACCCGCTTTGGGCGGTGTTACTGGCACTTAGTGAATAATAACAAAGGATGCTTAAGCAGAGCTCCAAAACAAAGATTTGGCCCCAAATGTCCATCATGCTGAGGTTCAGAAACTTTGCCCTAGAGCATTGTTTAGCAGAATCCTAGGCCCCTCCCCAGATCTGCTGAATTTAAATCTGCATTTTTCCCAAGGTCCCTAGAGGACTTCCCTGCATAGTAAAGTTTGAGAAGCAGTGCCTTAGGTCAGTAGCTGTCTATTTGAGTGCTTCAGAATCTTGGAATGTTCATTAAAACACAAAGTGCTGGGCATGACCCCTAAAGTTTCTGATTCAACAGGTGGTGGGGCTGGCGTGGTAAAAATTTGCATTTCTAAACAGTTCCCAGGGAATGCTACTGCTGCTTCTGCTCCCAGTACCACACCGTGAGAACCACTCATTGCCCAACAAAACCAGAGTAAGGCAAAATATCCAAATCCTTTCCAGCTGGACACATTGAATGCTTGCTGACCACCAGAGTCAATGACAAAGGAACTACATTGGGGCTGAGACACACATAGATGTTCTCTACTGGACTGTTTCTACAAAGTGTCAATAACTTTGCTCAGAACCCTGAAGTAAAATCGCAGGAGTATGCCACATCTCTGCCAGCCTGTAGCTGCCTCAACAGCAAACCAAGAAAAAGACAAAAGGCAGATGGAAGCCATTAGCTATGAAGTCAGTTCCAGGATATACACTGAGGTTAGATCTACAGCTGAGCCAGAGAACCAGTGATGCTCCTGAAATCAAAGTTGCATGCCTAGGCTTTACAGGAGGGATAGTGATGCTCCCTTTACAATCCACGATAGGAACACCCCCTGTTCCTCCCAAAGCAAGTGCCTCCTGAGGGCTGTGGCATTTTCTTACCCACACAGAAAGCTGGCCGGCCGCTCCAGGCCTTGTTGTCCATACATGTGACGGTCCGCTCCCCTTTCAACGTGTATCCTGGTGAACAATAATACTCACACCGGGAGTTAAAGTAGGCACCATCTACGCACTTAAACCCTCCATTTGCTGGCATGGCAAGGGTAGGACATCGCTTTTCTGAAAATGAGAAAATCAGATATTCAGCATTTCTGAGATTTTGTCTATAGAGTTTTGTTTCAGAGTCCAGAAACTCTGAAAGTATAGGGTGAAATTTATTTAAATACAACAAATGGAATTTGAGAAACAATAGATGATTTTATCTCACACAGAAGAGCCAAAGTTTCATGTCACACTGTCTTGGGTTGGCCTCCCAGATAAGCCACTATCTTAGGTTGAAGCAGACTCTAAGATATGGATTTGTGTGCATGAGGTTTAGTAAGAAAGTGCTCCCAGGGAGATCAGTGAGTGGGTGAGAAAAGCAGAACAGGGAAGGGGAGGAAACCAGGCAAGATGAGATCTTGGGCAAAGTCAACAGCAGCCCCAGGCAAGGAAGCTGGGCTTTCATAATTCTCTACCGGTCAGTCATTGGACAGCTACAGGCTGCTCATAGGAGATGCTTTCTCTTGTGAAAAGAGAGTGAGAGAGTGAGAGCGAGAAAGCGAGAGAGCGCAGGAGCAGTCCTCTGAAGGAGCAGTCTTCTAAATAAGGTCAAAGTTGCAAGTCTTTAAGAGCAAAGTGGCCCGTTTGCGGTGGCAGGTTCTGGGAAAGGGGCGGCAGGCACCATGTGTGGCTGGGAAGGTGGCAAGAAGAAGCCCCTGAAACAGCCCAAGAAGCAGGCCAAGGAGATGGACGAGGAAGATAAGGCTTTCAAGCAGAAACAAAAAGAAGAGCAGAAGAAACTCAAAGAGCTAAAAGCAAAGGCCGCGGGGAAGGGGCCCCTGGCCACGGGTGGAATTAAGAAATCTGGCAAAAAGTAAGCTGTTCCTTGTCCCTGAGGAGATGGTGATCGTTTATTTCATCTGTATTTAAACATCTGTATTCCCTGCCATAGCATCTTTTGCCACCTATAGCTGGAATTATGTGTTGTCTTGGAGCTGTTGTACATTTAAGAATAAACTTTTGTATTAAAAAAAAAAAAAAAAAGTCTGACAGTGGCACGTCATGTCTTCAGTGGTTTCTCACCCCATCCTTCCCACCTGAGCTGTGAATTTAAGGGAAACCAGCCCAGAAGCCAACCAGAGGGTGCTCTTGGGTGGAGGCACCCTCAATTCTGTATCCCCCCGAATTAAACCAGCTCACTGGAAAGGAGGAAAAAAAGTGTCGTCTTTCTAAAGTCATTGCTTTTGGCCAGTTGTGGTGGCTCACACCTGTAACCCAGCACTCTGGACACCAGGCAGGCAGACTGCTCGAGCTCAGGAGTTCAAGACCAGCCTCAGCAATATGGCAAAACCCCATCTCTACAAAAAAAAAAAATATACAACAGTTGGCTGGGCATAGTGGTGTACACCTGTAGCGTAGCTAATCAGGAGGCTGACCGGAGAGGATCAACAGAGCCCAGGAGGCAGAGGCTGCAGTGATCCGTGATCGCACCACCGCACCCCAACCTGGGAGACAGAGCCAGACCCTGTCTCAGAAAAAATAATAAAATCATCGCTTTTAATGTGGTCTAATTCACTATTCTTTTCCTTTATGGTTGATATTTTTATACACAATTTATGAATTGTTTCCTTACCATAAAGTCATGAAAATGTTCTTCTGCTCTATCAGCTAGAAGGGTGCTTGCTTTCATTACTCACGTCTGCCTGCCGTTACCATCCACGTTTAGGTTTCAGCCCCCTGGGGCCTGCTCCCCGTGCGGTCCGAAGGGGTGAGGTTTCACCTTTCCCCTGAGGATATTTGAGCGTCCCCCAGCCCTGCGGTGCCGCCTCTGTCCTGAGTTGGGAAAGCAGGCCTCCCGGTCTTTCTGGGGTGCGATTCCAGTGGTCTGTTGCCCCCATGGATGAGACACTGCCCTCTCTGAGAGGCACGGTCCCCCAAGCAGAGCCTGGGCTGGCCTGTGGCCGAACTCCTCCGAACCTAACTCCTCCAAACCTGGTGGAGACCCAGCCCCAAGCTAAAGGGAGTAACAGGACTCCCCCTTCATGAGGGGGCCTGACCCCACCACTTGTCCCTATAGCCCCACAAGGCTTGCAAAAGCCCTGCTTGGCTACCAGCTTCTCGGCCACCCCTTCCAGAATCGGCAGCCACAGGAAAAGGCGGCTTCCATGTTCATCTCTGCGGGCCTTAGAGATGCTCCCGGAGGGGCAGCCACCTGAACCCCTCGCCCATCACAATGGGAAGTCCAAAGTCAGTTTCATTTCAGGGAAACCAACCGGGACCTAAAAGTACCGTGGATTCAGATGCCACGGCCAGTGTCTTGGTCTGCAGATTTATCTCCAGCGAAGTTGGCACAGAGCCAGCTTAGCCAGTAAGCCTTACGCAGACGGCCCTGAGGATGCTGCATGCCTGCTCAGACAGGGTCTGTCGCGTTCCTGGGTTTCTTGGCAGGCCATAAAGAAAGAAAACTCTCTTACAGGGAAATCGCTTCACACACAGCCTCTCTGCCCACCTGAAGTGGGAGCTCCATGTGGGAATGGCCAGGCACTGTGTGAAGTGGACACCACCTGTAAGACGTGGTGATGGCGCATCCATGATGCCTACGGGCAACTCCTGCAGATGCAGATGCAACCAACAAAGTGACGATTTTAAAAATCCCTCCTGGGCTGGGTGCAGCGGCTCACACCCATAATCCCAGCGCTTGAGGAGGCCAGGTGAGGGGTTATCACTTCAGCCCAGGAGTTCGAGACCAGCCTAGGCAACATAGCGAAACCCCATCTCTACACAGATTTTTAAAAATCACCTGGGTTTGGTGGCACGTGCCTGGGTCTGGTGACACACGCCTGTGATTCCACGAGGCTGCAGTGAGCTGTGATTGCACAACTACACTCTACCCTGGGCAACAGAGCAAGACCCTGACTCAAAAAAATAAAAAATCAACAACAAATAAAAATCTTTTCTGCCTAGAACTGTTCTCCTTTGTTTTCCACACCATGAACCCTCAGCATAAGCTTCCCTGCTGCATTCTCCGTAAGCCAGAATTAAATAAGTGTTTCCCACAGTTCAAACATGCAACATGACAGCCATCTTTGTTTCTATGGAGACCCTTGGCCACGCCCACTTCCTTCTCCTGCCACCACCCTGCTGCCGCACGCAGGGTCCCAGGAGAGCCGAGCACAGGAGGCAGGTGCAGCTGCACCCGCAGAGAAGAGGCACCAGCAGCAGGCACTCAGGCCACGCAGGCTCCGCATCGGTCAGTTTCTAGGACAGCACACATCAGAGGCACCATCACATTACCACATTGACAAGAGGGTGCGATTAAGGGCTTCTGGGGAAACACGTGGGCAGGAGTGCTTTAGAAAGTGCTAGTGTGTTGGCCCGGCATGGCGACAGGCACCCCGGGTCCTAGCTACTCCGGAGGCTGAGGCTGGAGAATCGCCTGAATCTAGGAGTTGGAGGTTGCAGTGACCCGAGATTGCACCACTACACTCTAGCCTGGGCGAGAGACAGCGAGACTCCATCTCAAAAAAGAAAATGCTAGTATGACCTTCGACTGCTCTAGAAGGTGAGGGATGGTGGCACTGGGGGGAGCTCAAGTGCTGGCCCGGTTTCCATCCTCCACGGCTCCTGGCTCTGGGCATCGTGAGGCTGAGTCCATGGAGCGGTCATGCCAGCTGCACACCTGTCACTCAGCACTTTACTTCAGAAAGCAGCAGGCTCCTTGTCCCCACTCACCCCATGACACTGGCTTCCCTTTCACTTCAGGGCTGACCCTGAACCCAAACCTGAGCTCATCAGGTCGTCTGAAAGCTGGCAGCGAGGGGCGGGAGAGGGGCCTCACCGGGAGTGTACAGCAGCACGTCCACCGCTTGTGGGAGCGTCTCGCCCGCCGAGGGGTTGATTTTGTGCTTCAGAGTTTCCAAGGTTGTCTTCGGAAGCGCCATGGGCACTGAAAGACAAGATGTGTGGAGCGTCACTGCTGCAGGCCTGAGGAAACACGCAATCCCACAGCCCCATGCGCTCTGACTTCTGCAGAATACCAGCCTGCGGGCAAAACGTCATTTGTGAAGGCAAGCTCTCTTGGGCCCCGGGCACTAAAGGACAGCCACGCGCCCTCAGCCTCCTTTCCTGGCTGCCCTGCGAGCGATTGGCCAGGAGCATCCCCCACCTGCGTCCACACCACATCTCCACGGCCCTGTGCCTCGCACCGCCTTTCTTTAAACACAGCCTTCTTCTCTGCTCCTGAGCCGTCTGATCTGCTCTCTGGCCATACCCAAACATCACACAGCACCCAGCAAAGCAGAGACATCATATTTCCCTCGATAACGAAGCCTTCCCAAGATGAAACCCAGACACTAACCCATGCACGCAGCTTCCCAACCTAGAACCGGGTCGTGTTGTGCCGGATGAGCCCGGCTGTGGACGAATGCCTGGCGTCCTGTGCACAGTGGGACATGGAGCCTCACGAGATGCCAGTAGCACCTCATGCACCACCACAGGTCTCCCCAGGCGCTGCCAGATGCCTCTCCACAGGGAGTAGGTGCAAAACCACTGTTCCCCAGGATGTCCTAACACTCCTCTCTTGCTATCCAATCCAGTCCAACCCACGTTTCCAGGCAAACCCTAGAGCAGCCTCCTGCCCAGGCCCCTGGGGCCAGCCTGCTCTGACACAGCCCCTCCTTCCTGCCCGGGCCCCGGGGGCGCCTCAGTCTCCCACATCCAGGACTCCTTCAGTCCCTGCCGTCCAGGGCCTGCCCCTTAAGTGCTTCTTTTCCATCATTTTATTACTCATGACAGCCCAGTGAGATTGGCCCCATTATCCCCATTTTCAGAAAAGAAAGATGAAGAAACTGACACGCGTTGACATGGTGATCTACTGAAGATCACACCGTCAGCAGGAAGTCAGCCAGGACTCCGCGAGGGGCTGGCGGGCTGCACTGGGCTGTGGGAAAGCCAGCTGGCCACACCCAATGCCTCTTCAGCTGCTGCCTCGGATTGTGGCATCTTTGGTTATTATTTCATTCCGTACAGTCTGAGACCTTCCATCATGAGTTGACCATAAGCTATTAAATTAAGCTCAGGCTCATGTGCCATGAGTGTGACCTCATCACACTTTACGCACATGAAAATGTTTCCGGATTTGTAACAAGGGAGCAGGAACCAGCGCACAACACCGAGTGACACCAGTATGGGGGCTCCTCCTCTGCCGTCACGCGCTGCGGACAGAGGCGTTAGAAGGCTTTCCTATAAAACGCTCGACACAGATTAGTCATGAGTTTGGAATGAGATCAACAGCTGAAGTAGGGGATTTGTTTGATTTTTGCTCCCAAGGAAAAAAAAAAGAGCAATCAAGGTCTGTTTCCAGGTCTGTCAGACAAAAGCCCCTTCAAGCCACTCAGCCGGCCTCGTGGGAACACAGGTGCCTGAGGCTGCCGGCTGCTGCCACAGCTCAAGGGCCCCCCGGGTCACCTGGGAGAGGGATTCTGTGCCCAGAAAGTGGCAGAGGCCCTGCAGTTGGTGACAGACACCACAAAGAAAGCAAACTGTGCCCAAGCAAATAAACATGTAAGTGGGGTTTGTTCCTAATTCCAGGGCAACCTTTGAAAACGCCAGAGTCGGCCAGATCTATGCCCAGGGGAAATGAACACGAATGTCCACAGCAGAGCCTGCCGTGAATGCCCACAGCAGCACTGGTCACCACAGCCACGAAGCAGAAGCCATGCCCATGCCCACTTACTGAGGAAGGGACAGACCAAATGCCCTTCACCCAAACAATGTCTATCGCTCGGCCACACAAGGACTAGAAAACCCTAGGCTTGAAAAGCACTTCTCACAATAAAAAACACGAGTCCAGCACCAGCCTCTACGGCATCCAATATGCGAGCACCAGACGCAAATCTACAGGACGGGCCGCGGATTCCTGTCTGGGGAAGCTGACCCAATCAAGAAAAAGGTGGATCCTGAAGTTCGGGGCCTCTCCTCACCCACGCAGCGGTGAACCCCATCCGTCCACAGGCTAGCTGTGCAGAGGTTCCTGGCTTCTCAGCGGGTGTTGTCCTAACTGCAAGCCCCAGACACCGCTCTCCCCCATCAGAGAATCCAAGAGCCGCTCCACAGCCTCCCACTGGTCTCTGCTCTGCTTCAGCCAGCCAGGGGAAAGGCTGTTGTTTGCAACTAAGAACCAGCACAAATGCTTGCAGTGTGCCCTGGAGCGAAAGCCACGAGGTGCCCCAGCTGGATGGATGAGCGAGGGGCTCCGAGGTGCGCCATGCAGCAAAGGAAGGAAGCTGCTGGACAATGTGCGCGATTCAAAAGTGAATTACGGGAATAAAAGACAGAGCAGAGATCTGGGCTGGGTTCTACAACACAAACAGCGACCAGATAACATCTGAAGGCGTCATCAGGATGCTTATCTTACACTCGTGCCTCATCTTATCAAAGTAAGATAACTTGGAGGCAGCGTAGATGGCGCCCGGTGACTGCAGCGTGCCCACGACGGCATCCATCAGCAAGACATTGGTGAGCGCCTGCTGGACGTACTGCGGGTCCTAGGACAGAAACACGTGTGTTTCAGAACAGCAAGAATCACTCAGATCCGTTCACTGGAGAGTTTGTCCCATCACATAAAACAATTCTTCCAAAATGCATTTTTTCAAAGCAACATGAAGTTTAAATCGCTGATGAATTTGAATTTTATGTCATATATTTTTTCTCTTAGGTAAGACAAACACTGACTGTTTATACCAGTGTTTATACCAGTGTCAGCCTGTGTTTTCTAGAAGGGGCTAGGAGGAGGCATTTCAGGCTTTCTGGGCAATCTCGGCGGCCTGCCCCTGCAGCATGGGAACACCCAGGGACATTTCATAAACACACAGGCAGGACTGTGTTCCCATAAAACTCTACTTACAAAGACAGTCCAGGGGCCCAGGGCTTTGGTTTGACTATGCTGGTTTATGTTACATAAGCCAGTGGGTGTAGCATCAGATGGCTGGGCCAGAAGCCACAGGGCACTGGAATCTCAGAAGGGACCCAGTCGCCCTCCGCCCTGTGACGGGAAACTATCTGTAGTAACAGCAGCCCGGTCTGTTCCCCCCAGCACCGCCACTGTGGGGTGCCATCATCCCCGGCAGTTCTGAGGATGAGCGGGGCTGTACCCTCTTCATAACCGGATGAACTGTGCCCTTGGTATGAATACCCCACCCAGAGTCTTTGCCGTTTTCTAAGGCATCTTCCGTCTCGTCCCGCCACTGAGCAGCACAGATGCCCCCACACGCCACCGCCCATGGTTCCCTTCATTAATATGCAATTGTCATTTGATATCAAAGCCATCCATTTGGCCCAAAGTAAACGAAAGTACAACAATCCCTAGAAAATCATCTTAACCGTGTGGGAGGAATGCAGTACTACACCTGCCAAATTCCAAATCCCGTGACCGTGAAGAGCTGCTCAGAGCAGGGGAGCCCAAAACACCCAACTCCGGCCTGCGGGTGTGGACAGCACCAGCACTGTCCAGCCTCCGGCCCCACTCTTGGGGACGGCACCAGCCTGGAGTGGGCAGTGGAGCGCCCACACCTGCCCAGCCCGCCCTGCGTTTTCTCATCACATCCTTCCCTGTTGCCAAGAGGCCTCTTGCTGGGCCACACAGGCCACGACACCTTTGGTGCTTCTGCCAAGATGGTGTCCGACAAACTTCCTCTGCTTAGGGCACCTGGACCTGAGCGCAAGCTTTCATAGCTGAGCACCCAGAGGACCCACAGTGGCGAGAGGCCCTGAGGCAGCCACAGCAAAGGGCAGAGAGGACCCGTGTCTCCCACCTTGTGGTCATCGGCCAGCTTCTTCCCAGCCCACATCTCCTTCACCATCAGGTGCCAGAGGTCACACTCAGTTTTCAGGTTGGCCTCAAAGACTTCTTTCTTGGATGCCACTTTGATTTTTAGGGTGGGTATTCTCCGCAGCAGAAACGCGATGGTGGTGTTCCTGACCTCCTGCAGAGGCAGAAAAGAGTTAGAACATCACACTCAGAGAACACGTGGATTAACCAGAAAGCAGCAGAGCAGGCTCTGGAATGAGGGCAGATGGGCTGCAGGCACGCACCCTGCCAGCATGTGGAGGGCAGGGCCCTGGGCAAGGGACGGCATTCCCGTGGGAACAGGTGCACCCTTCCACACAGCTGGGCTCGTCCACCATGTCTGAAAGCGGTGCATTCTTTCACATCCTGAAATATTTCTTACTCTCTTTTTTAACTTCTATCTCCCTTTCCTGGTACTTATTTACCTTTCTTTGGAATTCTAGAAGGATGTCTGGCAAAGCAGTTGTGGAAAAAAAATAAACTGAAAGAAAACAGCCAGAAGTAGATCTACTGGCTGAGCACTTACCGTGGCTGCGGCTGTGGCTTGACTGCCTTTCCAGCTTCTGCGACTACTCAGCAGCTGATCACATAAAACATTCACATATCTGGCCAGGCACGGTGGCTCACGCCTGTAATCCCAACACTTTGGAAGGCCAAGGGGGGATCACCTGAGGTCAGGAGTTCAAGACCAGCCTGACCAACATGGAGAAACCCTATCTCTACTAAAAACACAAAATTAGCTGGGCATTGTGGCGCATGTCTGTAATCCCACCTACTCGGGAGGCTGAGGCAGCAGACTCACTTGAACCCAGGAGGCAGAGGTTGTAGTGAGCCAAGTTCAAGCCATTGCACCCCAGCCTGGGCAACAGGAGTGAAACTCCATCTCAAAACAAACAAACAAAAAAATCTGTGTTTCTGACACGCTTCTTACAGTCCCCTTAAATTTGGGAAAACAACTATAAGGCGTAAGGTGAATCAGGATGAAGTTCAGATTTCCTCGCCAGGGAAAACGACTACTTTTAAAGTATAATGTTAACACCATTTGAAGAGGCTGAGCATTGTGGCTCACATCTGTAATCCCAGCATTTAGGAAGGCCGAGACGGGCGGATCATGAGGTCGGGAGTTCAAGACCAGCCTGACCAAGATGGTGAAACCCCCTCTCTACTAAATACAAAAATTAGTCCAGCGTGGCGGCAGGCGCTTGTAATCCCAGCCACTAGGGAGGCTGAGGGAATTGCTTGAACCCTGGAGGCAGAGGTTGCAGTGAGCCGAGATCATTCCACTGCACTCCAGCCTAGGCAACAGAGTGAGACTCCGTCTCAAAAAACAAAAACTGTTCTAAGATTTTTTAATTGTTATAAAATAAATGTGTTATGTTTTATTTGAACCAGGTACGAACGTGACTAGAAAATGTGAACTACTGTAGCTCACCATGGCTGGCACACGGCAGTTTCTCAGTGAATATCTCATGGATGAACTCACATCTGCTGTCCCTAATTAGAATGTGAGCCTGCCCTGCTTCTTACTCCGTGCCTCCCAGATGACGGTCAGTTAGAAAATCAGTTACCCTTCTAAGCATGTTCCATATGTAATCGTTCAGTCCACACCACCCACTGAGAAGGTGTCAGCCTTATTCCTGCTTTACAAATGAGCAAACTGGGGGACAGGAAGGCAGGTGGTTTGCACAAGGGCTGCAGCTGGTACTTGGCATGGCTGGCAGAGAGCTCAGGGCCCACTCTGGCCATCTGCCTCCTAAACACGGTGGGGTCCGGCGCCACATGCTGTGCTGTGCTTACCTCTATATTTCTGAAGGTGGAAATCTCCACGTAGCCGGGCCTGCCTTCCGTTAGGAGGAACAGGCGCTTCTGGGTCATGGCGATCTTGCCAACGCCTAGGTTCGTCTTGACGGAGCTGGACAACTTATACACACACTCGCTTTTATCCAGGTGTTCCATCACCAGCCACGGCAGACTGACCTCCTGCGCTTCTGCTTCCGTCTCCTTCCAGCAGTTGTAGAAATCTTTGAATGTTTCTGGGTCGATTTGTTTCTGCTGTCCTAAGTTTGACAAGAAAAAAAGAGGTATCTTACAGCCACATACCTAGGGAGCATGACCTGAAGAAACAGCGCACTACCGGAACCCGGCAGCAGGTGGCGCCAGCACTCGGTGCTGGATGGAAACTGCCCTGAAGGTTTTTCCAGAGCCTTCCCTAGCAGCCCTGGTGTCCAGCTGTCAAGGGCAGGGCAGGTGATCTAGGCTGAGCCCGAAGCCCTCTCCAGCACTCCCCCACTTGAGGAGGGCTGTGGGGCCTGCTTCAGGTAGTCACAGCAACTCAGCTTTGGGTAGGAAAGTCCCTTGAACAAGGATACTCTTCTAATGGGGCAAAGACCTTCCTCACCACTAGAACTGGTGGCTACTGTCTTGAGGTCACGAGGGGAGCTAGTCCTAGGATGAGGCTAATGCCAGGGAGGCCGGATCCCTGGCGACACTGCCTTGCCAATGGGTCCGCCTCGCCTAAAACCAGCCCAACCTCCACACACTGGTTACGAGCAAATCATTGGCTTTTGTTGTTTGCCACCGAGACCATCTCAGCTGAGAGGCGGTAACCTTCCTCCGAGGCAGCAATCACAGGCTCCAGAGTCCAAACAGGCCGTATGGTTACAACACACATACACTTGTCCTGCCTGCTCACACCAGGAAACTCCTACCCATCCCTCGACACCCAGGTAGACATGCCCACACAGAGCCTTCCCTGATAAGGCAGAGGCACTGCTGTATCCAGTGACATTTGCTATGCCCCGAGAACCACAATCCACCCTATGTGGGGTCCCACTGAATCCTGACAGCCACCTTAGGAGGTGGGCCCCACCATCAGCCTCATTCACAAGGGGAAACTGAGACATGGAGAGGAAGGCCCTTTGCCGGCAGACCTGGGCCGTAAGGCCAGGCAGATGGTCTGCCCAGAGCAGGGGTCTGCCTTTCCTGCTGGCCACTGCTTGAAAAGGGAGGACCTGTGACCTCAGATCCTCAGATCCTGACTACAGGCCTGAGTCTGAAACAGCAAAAGACGTGGCTAACGCTCCAGTTCCGCCATGCCCCTGCTCCGATCCCATAGCAAAGTGGCAACCGTGACACCCCTGCTGCGATCCCAAACCAAAGCGGCAACCGTGACGCCCCTGCTGCAATCCCACACCAAAGCGGCAACAGGGACGCCCCTGCTGCAATCCCACACCAAAGCGGCAACAGGGACGTGTCTGTCTAGGGAATCCGCTGTCGTGGCCACAGTTGAGTCCAAGATACCTGAGTCATCACGGCAGCAACTAAAAGGGGACCACCACGTGAAGGGAGTTGGCGCCTCACAAGCTCGGGAGGAAACTTCCTCACTCTTAAATCTCACTTCCGAGCCACAGGGCCCGCGGGCCCGCAGGGTGAGCTGAGCTGGTAGGCAGGCTGCGGCAGGCGGCGCAGGCACCAGGCGGTTATGGGCAAATCTCCACCAGGTGGCAGGACTCCCAACGAACTCTTCTTTCTGCCTGCCTGCATTGTCTAATCAGTTTACAAACGGTGAATGTAGGTTGCTTACTAAGTATTTTCTTTAGTGTCCAAGTCACCAGATCCAAATAGAAGAGAAATATGCGCCAGTAGGGGTCTCTCTATGTCCCAGTGGGACTGTCACAAAGAAGTCATAGAAGGCAAATGGGGGTGCCATGCGCCCGGTGGAGGAGGCCTGTCAGGCCAGGTCTCTGCAGCCCTGTGCTGGGCAGCAAGGTCGTCTGTGAGGTCACAGAGAGCGTGTGCGTCCTCACTTGACTCTATACGTAAGACTGTTTGCCAAGGTCCCTCTTCTGTTTTAGAAATACCATTCAGGCTGGGTGCAGTGGCTCATGCCTATAATTCCAGCACTTTGAGAGACCGAGGTGGGCAGATCACAAGGTCAGGAGTTCAAGCCTGGCCAACATGGCGAAACCCCATCTCTACTAAAATAAAAAAAAATTAGCCAGGTGTGGTGGCCCACACCTGTAATTCCAGCTACTCAGGAAGCTGAGGCATGAGAATCGCTTGAACCCAGGAGGCAGAAGTTGCAGTAAGCTGAGAACACACCATTGCACTCCAGCCTGGGCGACAGAGCGAGACTCCATCTTGGGGGGAAAAATACAATTCAATGTAGCTGCCTCCGCCTCTGACTGGGGCACCTCAGCCTACACTTGCCAAGGGTTCTGAGTTGCTGGATTTATTTTAGTTTTTATTTTATGTATTTCATTTTATATTTTATTCAGAGACAAGAGTCTTGCTCTGTCACTCAGGCTGGAGTGCAGTGGCATGATCATAGCTCGCTGCAGCCTCAAATTCCTGGGCTCAAGCCATCCTCCAGCCTTGGCCTCTTGAAGTGTTGGGATCACAGGGACGAGGCAAGTGGCAGGCAGATTCTGGGCTTAAGTCAGAAGCACTTGTTATGTGAATCACATCACATACAACAATTGTTTGATCAGGTGGCCAGGCGAGGAAAAGCCCCAGAAACAGGAAAAGGGGAGCGAGCGAGAGTGAATCAGCGAAGGTGATGATGAAAGAGCCAGACACCCCAAGCATGGAGCCCCAGCCACGGGTCCTGCCCCTGGCGCCACTCAGGGCAATCTTCTTGCTGCCCGGTCCACACAGTTACTGGGGCTGGGCAGGGTGAAGCATATGTCACCAGAGCCTGATGAGGCTTATTCTCACAGACAACAGTGCTGAGCTCAGGGTGAGGGCGCTCAGGGCTCCAGAAAACCTCAACCAAGGGAGGAGCAGCACGACCAAAGAAGTCCCATTGGGCAGGAAGCAACACTCACCGCAGGAGCCGCCAGTCCTCAGCCAACCTGTGGGCACCACGCCACCAGCACTGCAGCAGAACAAGACACTGCATGCCCAAGGTCACTGTGCAAGCCCACCACCATGTACACTCACGGCCACTGCACACACCCACAGATGCTGTGCAGCACGTCCACCACTATGCATCCCACAGCCACTGTGCGTACCCACACACTGTGTACACCTACTGCAGTGAACACTGCACACCCACCACAGACACTGTGCAGCATGCCTACTATGCACACCTACTATGCACACCCACTATGCACACCTACAGACACCATGCACTCCCACCACTATCACACCCACAGACACCATGCACACCCACCACTATGCACATCCACCACTATGCATACCCACAGACACCATGCACGCCCACCACTATCACACCCACAGATACCATGCACACCCACCACTATCACACCCACAGACACCATGCACGCCCACCACTATGCACACCCACCATTATGCATGCCCACAGCCACTTTGCGCACCCATGGCCAATGTGCACACCCACTGTGCACACCTACCACAGTGTACACCCACAGACTACACACCCACCATGGTGCACACCTGCCACTGCACACACCCACAATGTGCAGCACACCCACTACTATGCCCACCCACAGACACTATGCACACCTACTGTGCACGCCCACCAATGTGCACACCCATGGCCACTGTGCACAACCATCGTGCACACCTATCACTGTGCATACCCAGACACTGCACACCTACCACAGTGTACACCCACAGCCACTATGCACACCCACTGTGCAGCACACCCACTGTGCACACCCAGACACTGGGCACACCCAGACACTGTGCACGCCTATCGCTGTGTGCACCGACACTGCACACCTACCACGGTGTACACCCACAGCCATTATGCACACCCACTGTGCAGCATACCCACTGTGCACACCCACAGCCACTGTGCACACCCACTGTGCACACCTATCACTGTGCATACCCAGACACTGCACACCTACCAGTGTACACCCACAGCCACTATGCACACCCACTGTGCAGCACACCCACTGTGCACACCCACAGCCACTGTGCACACCCAGACACTGTGCACACCCAGTCACCGCACACACAGCACCATGCACACCCATGGCCACTGTGCCCATCCACCACTGTGCATGCCCACAGTGTGCACACCCACTATGCATGCCCACCATGCACACTGACACTGTGCACACCCAGATACTGCACACCCACTGTGCAGCACACCCACAGACACCATGCACACCCACAGCCACTATGCACACCCACAGCCACTGTGCACACCAATGGTCACTGTGCACACCCAGACACTGTACACGCCTACCACAGTTCACACCTGCAGACACTGCATGCCCAGCACCATGCATACCACTACCGTGCACACCGATGGCCATTGTGCACACTGTGCAGCACACCCACAGCCATTATGCACACCATGGTCACTGTGCACAGACACTGCACACCCACTGTGCACACCTACCACAGTGCACACCCACAGACACTGTGCACACCTAGTACCATGCACACCCACTACCATGCACACCCATGGCCACTGTGCACACCCACTGTGCAGCACACCCACAGAAACCATGCACACCCACAGCCACTGTGCACACCATTGCCACTGTGCACACCCAGACACTGTGCACATCTACCACAGTGCACACCCACAACCACTGTGCACACCCAGCACCATGCACACCCACAGCTACTACGCATACATACCAACACTGTGCACACTTATGACCACTGTGCACATCAGCTATCATGCACACGATCGTACACACCCACGTGGGCAGAATGGCTGGTCCTCATTTGTCTCCAATTTCACACAAAAAGCAGCTGTTAACCTCTCTCGTCACCCACACGCCTCCAATACAACTGCTCCTGCTTAGCTCAGGGGCGTGCAGGCGACGTCACCATTGGAGCTGGCCATGGACGTCTTGCTCCTGCCTGACCACACTAGAGGTGGCACACACGTCAACGTCCCTTGAGAGGGCCGCCTCACAGGCAGCTGCAACAGGGAGCATACTGGCCTTGCACTGTGAATAGCAGATTTTCCCATTAAAGTACGTAATGATGAAACTGCGAGAATTTTTCAAACGAAATCTCAGGTGTATTCTAATATCATGTAAATTCACCCAAAGGTGGTGACACTGAGCTCTGACCAAACCTTGTTTTGTTTTTTTTTTAACAAATGTAACAAATGCACATTTGGTCAAAACATATATTAGGTGCCACTTTACACTGGTAACTTCAGGCTCACATATCCCAGAATCAAGACCATTCTGGCAGTGTTAGCCAAATCAGCAATGTAAGAAAGGCCAAAGTGACAGCAGGATCACTGACGGCATTATCACAAGCAGCCAGGTCTGCTGGACAGGGCCCACACACCCACTGCAAAACCCCCCTTCCAGGGCTCCCTTGCAACTGGGCAGCCACATGACACAATTCTGCCCAATGAGAGGAAAACAGAAGTTGTGGCGGGGGAGGGGGGTGCCTTAAAAGAAGGATGGAGCCTGCTCTTCCTGCAGGGAGAAGAGTGGCGCTGGTGCCCACAGGCCAGCTCATGACCAGGAGACAGCGGGCTGCTCCAGGCCACAGAGGAGAGACAGAAGCAGCTGGCCTAAGACACAGAGGAGCCACCATGCGTGCCCTGGACTCGTGTCATGTGAGAATAGTCACCCCAGTGGGATTCAGCCCCTGCCCTGCCCCCAGGTAGCTCCTGCGTGGTGCTCATCATCCACGGGAGCTCAGTGGAAGGGGTCCCACCCCGCTCTGCTCGGCTGGCGCATCATCTCAATGTCTCAGAAGCACGGCACAGGAAATGACCACAGAATCTCTGAGCTCACCCTCATCCGACTCAACAACTGGGACCAGTAAGCACACAACCTGATGGCTTCACCACGCAGGGAGAGGTACAGGCGCGCACACACACACACACACACTCTTACACACATGCTTCATGCAGAGAGGTACAGGCGCGCGCGCACACACACACACACATGCTTCACCATGCAGGGAGAGGTACAGACACGCGCACACACACGCACACACACACGCTTCACCACGCAGGGAGAGGTACAGGCGCGCACACACACACAC